TTCGGATAAAGGACCGGTGCCATAACCACTGCACCAACGGTCAGATATACTATGTAAATAGTGTGATGAATTAATACTTAAAGCACATTTCATTTCCATATAACTTTTACGTAACTTGAAGCTGGGCTTCACTCACCTGAATAAAAAGTTTGCTTACTTGACTAGAAATAACAATAATGATTTTTATTCACTTTTAAATCCAAATTCTACGTTTCTCTAATAGATATTTCATATTTTATTTTTCCAATACGGTTACTAATTCTTTTTAACTGGATTTTTATATTTTTTCTCAAATTATTGTCTGAACACCTCACCTTTAAAAACAAAGTGAATAGATTTTGTTTACAGTTTAGAAAAAAACGAGATACGCAATACAGAATAGTTTTTCTCACTCGAAAATTACGTGTTATATATGACAGTTACTGACTTTCTTCTAACTTGCCAAGTAAACCGCAAATTCTTTAACGTCAAAATTTTGTTTTCAGTCTGCAAACTTTCTGTCGTATAAAACTTTTGCGGACAGAAATGTAGTAAACTTTTTACCCGTAATTGACTTTGAATTTTGATCATCCGTAAACGTCAAAAAATTTTTTTTAGATTTAAAATAATTTTATACTTACATATTAAAAATTAACAAAAAAAAATAATTTTTATATTATTTTTAAAGTCAAAATTATTTTTAATTTATCAAAATTTTTATATTATTTTTAAAGTAAATGATAGTCACAATTTACTTACCGAATTGCTACGTCAGACTGTCTGCATGTAAAAAAAAAATCTACAATTTTGACGCTTAATTGACTCTAGGCTACAATTTTTTTAACGTTTAAGAATTTAATCTTTGACTGAAAGTAAAAACACCGTAGAGTATTCGTAAATTCAGACAACTCAGATTTTGTAAAATTTGACGTTTAAGAATTTACCAATAATAATGAGACAGATCATCAGGCTCCTAATAGCTTAACATCATTTTCACGCTTTTAAGCTTTCATAGTAAAAACACAACTTGAGTTTTAAACTTATTTTTTGAAGAGGACTAGAAATGTAGCAAAAAATGCATATGAATAATAATTCATACTTCAAAAAATATATTAAGAATACGCATGTGGTGCATACGGTAATATATTTTATAAAGTCAATTATATCAATTAAATGTACTGACAATTACTAATTACAGATTCAACTTTTTTTTAATATTATTTGCCTTTTTAAAATTTATTTTTATTATTTTTTAAAATTATAAATAAATTACAATTATTTTTTTTTTTAATTTTGCTCTAAATTTTTTTTTTTTAAATCGCTTTACTTTTATAGTAAGTAAACTTTTTTGCCACCTTGTACTGGAAGGAATTATATAAATTGTTTTGTGCTTCTTTAAAGCTCTTAAAATTGCTCCTATACTTTATACATGGTGGCGCAAAAAGAACGATATGTTTTGAATTCTTGATAACTTTTTTATTTATTAATTTTTTTTATTTCAAAATCTTGTAAACAAAGCTTTGCAAATTTATAATGGAGCAGTATACAACGCAGCAGCGAACAAAAATCATAGAATTTTACTATCAAAATCACAGGCCAGTTACTTTAACTCGGCGAGCATATCGGCGATATTTCAATGTACGGAATCTGCCCTCTGCAGCAAAAATAAACCGCCTGGTAAGACATTTTAAAGAAAATGGATCAGTAAGAAACGTACAAATTCGTGGAAGACCGTGTACGGTCCAAACGGAGGAAAATGTTGAACGTGTAGTCAACAATGTAGATGAGAATCCAGGAATATCAACAAGGAGACGTTCGACACAGCTGGGACTACCACGAAGATCCCTTCAGAGAATTTTGGCCTCAATACGCATGTTCCCATACAAAATTCAGCATGTGCAAGAGTTAAAGCCAACAGATACAGCAAAGGCTTGATTAAGCCATTTCTTTCCAACAAAAAACAGAAGAAAATCCAAATTTCATACACAATTCGATAATGAGCGATGAAGCTCACTTCCAATTAATGGTTTTGTAAATAAGCAAAACTGCAGAATATGGGCGATGGAGAACCCCCCAGCAGTACATCAGCGCCATTTACAGCCACTTAAATGTACTGTTTGGTGCGGTATATCATACGAAAGGATAATTGGCCCATATTTCTTTGCAGATGGACATGGCGACGGAGTTACCGTTAATGGCGCTCTGTATAGAGCTATGCTGGAAAACTTTTTGAGGCCAGCAGTGCAAAACCATCCACAGTTGTGGTTTCAGCAAGATGGAGCCACTGCTTATACTGCAAGGGAGCAATGGCTATTTTGTGGGACATTTTTGTTAATCACATTATTTCGCGCAAGTGTTTTAGTTGGCTTCCGCGTTCACCAGATTTTACAGCACCAGACTGTTTTTTTTTGGGGTTATTTAAAAGAAAAGGTGTACGTTAATAAGTCACAGACCATAAACGGGCTAAAAAACAATATTCGTGATGAGATCAAAGCCATTACGCCTGATATTTTGCGAAAAGTGATGGAAAATGTGCTGGAAAGAGGGCGAATTTGCGAAGCAGCTAATGGCCACCACTTGCCGGATATAATTTTTCATATTTAAACCAAAAAAATTTGCCATTTGTATATTTGTATTTACCAAAAAAAAAAATTAATATTTTCATTTAAATAAAAAAGTTATCAAGAATTCAAACCATATCGTTCTTTATGCGCCACCCTGTATATGAAAACAAAGTATATCTGCTAATAAGTAATTTGATTCATTCCATTACGTTAGTTTTCATTTGCATCTAGCTTCCAAATTCTTAAAATATTCCTTTTTTTTACTTTTCATTTTATTAAAGTTAGGTAAAAAATTCAAATGTATGAAAGCAAAAGAATTTGAAATTTCATGTATGAATGTACACATGCATGTGCCTGGTACAGTAAATACACAGTCTGATCAGTATCAGGTAGTGACATAGAAATGAAGTAATTTATAAAGAAAAAAAGGTGTATGCATACTGATTACTTTATGAAATATAATTATTACCGATTCATGGGAAATATGTTCTAAATTTATTAAGATTGAAATAAAAATAAAAAATTTAAAGATAATTAATTTATTTTATTTATTAATTACAAATCCTTAACACTAAAAATTTTTTGTTTTATATCAAATTGTTTTATACTTTAATTTAAACTTTTTATTATGTGGTAAATTCTAATTCTAACATACAGTTTAACGAAATATGTTTTGTCGAACTTCTCACAACATTCATAGTTGAAATTATTTTTTAAGTGTTCATATATGTTACATTCTAAATTTTTTTCTGTACAAATATCATTAAAAAGTTTAATAAAAGTATTTTCTAGAATCTTTAAATTATCCGTGAAATTCTTGGATGGTTTATAAAAAATTGTAAAATATTTTTTTTTAACAAGTATTTAAATTTTTTTTTAATATTATTGCGTCTTTTTAAAATTTATTTTTATTATTTTTCAAAATTATATTATATAAATTACAATAATTTTTTAAACACTTTTTTTCTGCTTCGCTTTTATAATATGAATACACCTTTCTTGCCCCCTTGTACTGGAATAAGTTACAAAAATAAAACTCCCGCCTTTAAAATTCTTAATATTTTTTCCTATACTTTATATAGGGAAAAATAAATAACTCCCGCTTTTAAAAATACACTATAAAAAAACAGGTAGACATCTATTGCATACTCTTTCCCTCTCCCAAAAATTCTTATGTGTATAAAGATGAAAATATGAAGGTATACTGCTTAACTCTTTTAACTAAGGGAATTTTTTGTATAGAAATATTGGTGAGTGATTGCTTAACTTGTGATGAATGATTGCTTAACTTGTGATATTGGTGAGTGATTGCATTAGTGTGATGTAAACGGAGAGTCGAACTACTTATTAGTAGATATACTTTGATATGAAAATAATGCTTTCGCGCGCCCTTAAAAAATATAAAAAAATTGGTTGAAATTTATTGCGTACTCTTTCCCTATCCAAAAATGGCTGTGTGTATAAAAATGAAAATAAGAAGCTACCTTTTCTCTTTTTAGCTCTTTTAACTAAGGGAATGTTTTGTATAAAAAAATTGATGAGTGATTGCATTAGTGTGATGTAAACGCAGAGTTGAACTACTAATAAAACAGATATGTTATATATTTTAGATTGGTCATTAGTCATTCAAATAAATATAAAAATGGATCAACAAGAATTCTTTCATAAATGTATGTATATTAGGTCTTGCATATTTTTCCTAAACTTACAACTACAATATGAAATATACATAATTATTACATATAATGAACATACATATTATATACATATTTGTATGAAAAATTGTAATTGATTAGTTCGAAATATAATTCTGCATTCATATGATAGGTCGCTGGTTTTGAATTGATAAAATAACTGGTTTAGAAACTCCGCCTTTTATATATAAAATGACCAATGAGAATTTCAACTTTCTAACAACACAAACGAGAAAACAATAAGTACAATATTATACACTCTCGCTAAGCTCAAAACTGACACCATGTTAAAAAAATTTTGATAGTATTTGTGAGTTTATGAAAATTCCATATATGTAATATTGCAATAGTATGTATGCCTAGTTACGAGTATGTCTGGAAATTATAATAAAGTTATGTAATGTACAGTGTACAACATCGTATAAAAAACATGCATTTTTCGTAGTAAATAAATTTCTCATTTGAAGAAAAGCTGAAGTGCTTTCCACTTTGATACGAAAATAATCTCATTATAAATATGTATATGCACACGCACACATATACGCATACTTATATATTTACACATTAATTTTTGTGCATTCTTAAAGAATCTATCTCATAAGTGTCCCTCGTTTCATTTATATAAAGCTCTTACATAAAAGCCATATGATTTTATATACACACACACACGTTAAACAATTTTTGTTTTCTTTTTCTTTTTTGGCTAATATTTACATACTATGTAACTGTTCAATAGCTATAATTTTTTCGGGATGAAAATGATCATATAATCACCTCGTACCTAGTCGTTCACGCACTTTGTTCGTGTTTGGTCGCGCAGAATTAAAATTTAAATGACATATTGTTAAAATACAACTATAATATATATTTTTTAAGAATTCTGCGATTTAGTACTATCACGGTAATGAAAAGTGAATTTATCGTCCTCTGCATTGTGGATTACTATACAAATAATTGTTTCGTTGTGTGAAACCTCAATTTAAAAAAAAAAGAAATATACATAAGTAAATGTAAATTTGTTATATACATTAAATAAACAGCTGTTCAATGACTTTTATACAAACGACAAATAATCAAGTGTGTCATACTGATTAAAAAATAACCACAAGAAAACTTATTAAAATTTAATTATTATTTAAAATTAATTGAAAATATTTAATTATTTCTAATTATTTCGTGAAAAAATTTAATTTTAGAATTAAATTTCGAGTAAAATAATATATGTTTTTTTTATGTGACAGAACATAAGATAAATATTTAAGGTGATGAGAGTAGTTTGCAAAATATTTGCACATACAAATGAATTAAGTTAATAAATTATAACAAACCATGGTCGATTTTTATTCACGGAAAATAAAAAATTTCAGTTAGAAAAAATTTAAATAAATTTTGATATACCTTTTTAAAATTTATACAAATATAGTAAATCTAGGGCATCTATTGTTCTCAATACGCTAAATTTTACAGATTTGGGGAGCCCCTACGAGGGGCCTCCCAGCACACCTAATTCTGGAATGGATGGTTCTGATACTCCCCACACCCCAAAATTTTTAGATAGCGGGGTTTCAACTACTATACCTGGAAAATCTGCTTTTGTGGAATTACAGCAACACAGGTAACTCAAAATATTTTCTATCCCTCGCAACATGTTTAGTAAAATTACGTTACATTACTCCTTCAAAATATGCAATATTTACATATGCAAATACAAATATTATCTATGTACGTTGTTTATACATTCCGAATTTCAAGTCATATTTATACATGAAAATTAGTTTTTGTATCAGCTTTCTAAAAATAATATATCAGCAAATGAATCCAGGCTGCAGAAATTTTGAAATTGTCTTGAATTCATTTATTTAGGTTAACATGGTTATACTTAAATTTTATCTGTTGTCTTAATATTCTTATATTAGTTTATTTTGTCTTAATAGCAGATTTAATCACTGCTAATTTAACTCTAGCTGCAAGAGTATAAAGAATTTTGATGTCTAGCTTTTATTCCTACCGTCCATTAGTTAAATAAAGGTTAAAATGAATAAATTCCCGGCTTTCAGGTTATAAAAATCAGTTTTTCAACTTTAATATATTTGCTTTTGTAAATATTGTTTTCTGAAAATTTTACAGAGTTTTGTGTTAACATTACTTAAACTTATATTATTGAAGTGTTAACATTACTTAAACTTATATTATATTTTAAACTTATATTATTGAAGCCAATAATATAAATAAATATATATATACATTTAAAACTCAAAAATCCACATTGATTTTAAATACCATAATTTTCCCACATCTATGATTACTGCAAGTAACAAGCATAAAAAAGAATTTTTCAAAAACGTTGTTACTGTAACATTCAGCATTTAAAATTATAGTGTAATACAACATCTTCATTAGGCTAATGCGAGACTGGTAAAAAATTGACATTTTCGGACAATCTTTTTCGAAATATATTTAATTTATTTTAAATGTTGGCCAAAAAAATTAAATCTTTTATTTACTTAGTATTACAAATCAAGGCGATATAAAAAGAACTGTACATCTCAGTGACATTTTTGAATTTCAAACAATTGAGATACAAATATATAATTAATATTTTAAGATCTGTTTGAGTGCTATTATATTAAACTAGTCGTGTGTGCTTGCATTGCAAGCCTTGCAAGTATTATGCCCAAAGTTTTGAAATTGTCTCAGCCATTCTGTGGCTGAGATATTTTAGGTTTACTTTATTTCTTCAAAAACACACTCGTATTATACATATAGATATGTTTTATAATAAATAATAAGATAAAACTCAAAATAAGAAAAGTTCTGAAAAATAATTACCAAAAATAATTAGTTCCTTTGAGATCTAATATCTTTTAGTAATTTATTTTAGAACCTCGCTTTGAGTTATGTCGCACAAAACCGTAAAATACCTTTTACAGTAAACACTTTAAGCGATAAATTACTGTATACGCCTGAAATAATTCACTACTAAAATGCATGCATGTATGTATTTGGAGTTTATAATACATGCGAATAAAACGCGTGACTGTAGAATGAGCGTACGTACATACTTATTATAAAACATTATGTAGATTATGCAGAAAACAAATGTAGATTTTATTAAAACCTTACAAGTTTCTTAATAAAGTGATAATTTTTGTTATAACTCACACTTCCAAATATGAATTTACATACAATACTTATACCACGAAAAGTAAATAAAAAATTACCCCTACAGGATGTAGTGCCGTTTTGCAAAAAACCGTTATGAAGCATCTTGCGAAGGGGTGAAGGGGGAGGGTGGGTGTAATTCTTTTTCTGGGACCCTAGAGGCAAAGCCATATTTAATGCATTTTGTCCCATGTCTCTAGCTCTTCTAGAAGTACCAATACTTTTTGGCACCTGAGATGTAGCTATATATATATAATGTAAAATAGGATGTCGTATATTGTCGTATTTTCTTTTTTTGGATTTTTTTAAAATTTTTTTTTTTATTTTGTTTAAATTTTTTGTTTTAATTTTTTCAATATATGACAAATAAATATTATTATAAAGGTTTAAAAAAATTTTCAAAAAAATATTGTTTAATAGTTAAGTACATAAATATGTATATATATATTTTTTGAAAGCTTCCTAACAAATTTTTTTAAGCTTTCTTTGTGAATTGAATAATATTCAAAATTGTAGTTTGGCATATAGAAACACATAATTATTAAATCATAGAGGTAGCATACAGAAATAAATTTTTTAAATTAAGAAAAGATTTAGGCATAAATAAAATAATATTTTTATTCAAATATATGTATGTACATTAATGTATTAGAATTGAACATTTTTATTAATTTTGTTCAAAAAATTAAAAATAAAATTTTAAGCACAAACATACATAATTATGAATGTATACCTATTTTTTTAAAACTGCGGGTGAACATATAGAATTAAATTTTTCAAATAAGGAAAAGGTTTAGGCGAAAACAAAATAATAATTTTATTCAAATATATGTATGTACATATGAATGTATTAAAATTTAGCATTTTACAGTTTTTCGCTTGGAACAACAAAAATAAAATTTTAACTACATACGTACATACATTCTGTATGAATATTTTTTTAAAGCTTGCTGACGAAACATAATATTCAAAACAATAACAAATGAAGCATTAATATTCAGATGCCAGAAAACATCTGAGTCTTTGATAAAAGCTGACATTTATTTACGTTAAGATTAATTCGATTTTCCGAAAAAAAAGTGAGATCATTATTTTAACTTAATGGAAATTTCTTCATGCAACTGCAGAACAGATGGATGACGTAATCAAAGGAACGAGTTAAAGGTAGAAAAATTAATTAAACAATTTTTCTCCTCGAACTGGACTCGAACCAGTGACCTACCGCTTTATAGGCGGACGCTCTACCAACATTTCTAAAACTACATATCCTTAAAAAATTTTAATAGGATGGCTGGAGTCGGATGCCTGCCATACAACTCCAAAAGCAAATTTTTTATATTCGAAAAAGTAATAAAGCCGTATTCAAGAAACTTGGTAGTGGTGCATCCAACTATAAATGAAATATATTCTTGAAGTAGAATTGCGTGACAGGTTTGGGTATCTGCCATACAACTCCCAAACCTAATTTTAAATATTTGGAAAAATAATAAAAACAGATTCATAAAACTTGGCATTCCAATTATATGTCAGATATGTTCTTGAATTTTAGTGGAATTCTTGACAGGTTCGGGTTTCTGACATAGAATTCCAAAAGCTAATTTTAAATGTTTGGAAAAATAATAAAGTAAGATTCGTTAAACTTGGTATTCGTATGTCCAATTATATATCAGAAATATCCGTGATGATTCTATAGAATGGTTTCACAGATTCAAATAATTACTTAACAATAATCAAAGGTGCAGGGTATAATTCAATTGGTTTATATACCGACTGAAATGTTGTTACTTGTTTAAATAATTCATTATTAGAAATAATATTATCAAAAAATTACTTTGTTAGTTATTTATTTAAAATAATAAATTGCGTATTTTCCAGCATCTATTTCAAAAATTTTTTCCTCAATAGAAAGTCACAAAAAAAGTTGATATACAGGTAATTGAATATGCTGCTTTGATTACTTTCCAATTATGCTCTATTTTTCATTTCTATATTTACTTGCATATCTGCTGAGAAATTCAGTTTATATATACGCTGTTGAAGGACATCGAAAAGTAAAATATTTAAACTAATTTAAAGAAAATAATTTACCCCTAAAGTACACACTTTCGGATAAAGAGCTAGTTAGAATAAGACCGCTTCTTATTAAAAAGTGTTTTAATACAATATAATCCAATAAGTTATAATTAATCAAAAAAAAAGTGTAAAAATTTATTAAAACGCTAATATTTTTAAATAATAAACTGCTTATTTATTTATTTTTTTATAAATTGCTTATTTATTTATTTATTTTTTTCTGCGTGCTAATTATGAAACTAAAAATTAATGAAACTAAAAAATTATGAAACTTAAAGGTTATATAATTACACAATTGTTATCAAAAGTTCGTTTGCATGTTGTCTATTCAAAACACCTAGTTTTCCAGAATAATCTTTCCAAATCTCCGACATTGATTGCAGTATACCGTTTTTACGTTTCAGTCTTGATTCTTGAAAAGATTTCCTTTTAGTCCGTCTTCCGGCACAAGGTACTGAAGGTAATCCCAGGATGGCCAAATTCGTTAACTGAAGAAAAGTAAAGGACGGTTATTTATATTATTTATCGTTCCGGATGAAAAAACATGAAATGATAATTTTATTTCATGATTTCCTTTGGAAAGTGAAACGATATACTTTTGAAAATATCTTTTATAACATACGGAATGAATTTTGCCTTTGCAGAAAAGAGTAGAAATTATGAAATTAAGTTCGTTATAATAATAATTCATCGAAAATTAATTAATATTATAAAATCTTCTGTAGATAATAGATAGGTAAAACTTATGTAAAAATATGTTATAAAAGTAATGATATTAAATATTGCTTGTCACTTGTTGACAGCTTTTTACATTCGTTAACAAGATTCATTGATTGGTTTCGGTAGATGATTGGGTATTTTACTTTATCTTGGTTAGCATGGGAGGTTGTCAGATGTCTAATTATCACTTCATGTGAACTTTTAATATGAAATTCATGTATGCGGTAGGGCAGGACACTTCTTTTGTACTAAAACTACTTGTTAACAATATTAACAAAAAAAAAAACTAATCTCTTTGGTCTTTCTTGAAATTGAAATGCCCGCCAATATTAAATGAATTTTATTAAAATTTATTCTTAAAAATAAATTTTTTTTGTATTAAACATGGTTAGTGGGCCTATTATAACAATCTATCAATTTAACTCTAATTAGTTTTTAGCCTACTAATTTCTTACTTTTACAAAATTTTGCAAATTTTTTTTATACTATAATGATTTCTTTGTGTTTATAATAGTTGTGATATTTTTCATTTATTTATTTAGTGTACTTTATCAGTTAAAATAATTCAATTGGTTTTGTTTGTTGCAATCTTCTAATTTTGCTATGGTACAACCCCACAGCTGAATACCATAAATCCACTCTGGTTTCAGGACTTGCTCA